AGCCCTGTTCTCATGAACTGGTGATCCTCCAGAAGGTTACTATTTGGAGTGAATGTGTTGGGCTTGTTCTCAGGAGCAAAAGGGTGAAATGTAACTTAGCCACATTTCCTGCTGGCGCATGCAATAGTGATAACGATTTCCCGGTTGTCCCATGAAGAATGATACCTCCAGCACCAAGTTTTGCATGCTCACCTTGGGCTTGCCTAGAAGTGCCTGTCACGTGGTTGATTTTGTTTGAGCTGGATATTATACACTTGATAATCATCTGATCTGCAGCAGACACCTGGCTATTAAAGCCTAAATGACTTTTTTATGTTGGTTTTTTTTTTTAAATAAGGGCAGAACACATCTACAGCCTATCACTTTCAGATACGTTTACCTTAATAAATGAAGCTGCACACACAAACGAATCTTTGCATACAGGCATGCTGTGTAGTAGATTGAGTGTCATGTTGTATAGTGCAATTAAATGGAATGTGTAAATTGTGTATCGGCTCTGATGAGAACAAATGATGGTGCGCTTCAAGCCTGATCTAGATCAGGGGTAGGGACAAGTGAAACTCAGAGGTAACTATTTTGCCAAGCCAGCGAAGTGTCATGCTAAGGAAACAAATAACCCAGGTACACGGCAGAGGGGAAACTGTAATGATATTAGCACAGAATGGTCAGCGCAAAAGCAAAAATTGGTGAGGTAGAGCGCCCATCTGTGCCAGAGCTGTCCCTGTAATGGGTGCTAATGGCTGATGGAGGGACAACTACAATGCTTGACTGTGACTATGTGTAGCTGTATGGGATGGTCAGGTTGAGACAGCAATATGGGAAAGGTTCTGCAGAACTTAGCTCAGCTGTATCCATGCAAGGACAAACCCCTGAATAGAAAAAAGTAAATATATGGTGCACTGAATTTCTGCTGCCAAGATTGAGAGTTGTAATACTGAAAGAGATCTGGGAACTGCAGAGCCTAACTGAGCAATAAAAAGAAACCCAAACTCTTCCTGTTTAAAGATGTGTTTTGATAGAGGATGGTTCCTCAACAGCTAGCCTTAGATCAGGAAGTAAGTGAGTCTGTATTCCTAACTATCTACACAGTTTTTGGTGAAAACTAATACCAGCTCATTGCTGCTAGTTAGTAGTAGCGATTTTAATGCGATAAAAGTAAATATCTACAAATACTTACATAACAGTTTCTCAGGAGAAGTGACAAAAGCAAAGTAACCAAATACTGACGCTGCTTTTAGAAAGACACAGGTGTAGATTCTTTAGCTTGCAGGTTGCTCACTAGCAGCTCAGAAAGTGAAAAACATACTGCATTGAAAAGGGGCACAGGAATTAGTCACGAAACTCTGACACTCAAGCAGCTACTTAAGCTGCGGTTCCTATAGAGTTTGGAAATCTAACTCTAGTGGTGCCATTATAAAGAAAAAGGACATAAACATCAGGCTGCAGGAAACAATGAAGGCAAAAGTGAAGTTCAAGGAGCAAGTGAAAGGTTGTGAGATCAAACAGCAAACAAATACTGTAGTACATTACAAGCCGGAAGTTTTGTGAAAACCTGCAGATTGCTGGAGATTAGAGAACATTTGAAAAAGATAGTTTGTTTTGTAAATCTCTTCCCAGTTGAGATGCTTAGGTATGAGGACAGCCTCTCAACCCTGGAATTTACTCTAAAGAGATTAGTATGAATACATACATATTTTATCAATTCAATTGTGTATATTGTTCTTTGTGTACGTTTTATGTTTTGCTTTTGCTTAGGAGTTATGGAGTAATAAACTGAAAATAGATTTTTGAACCGATGTACAACTAAATCTCGCATACTGATAATTTAATACTTGGTTTGTAGCTAACACAGCATGCGCTGTTATCTAGAGTATTAATGTTTACTAAATTTAACACAGACTGGTATTACTAGCCTGAGCTTTGCTGTGCAAAGAAAAGACCGCCTTTGTGTAGTAGGTGTTTTCTTCCTAAACGTGTCCTTTTCTACAAGCTAAAGGAATGGTGCTAGGATATTCTATTTTAAAAGGCATTTCTGAAGTATTTTTAGCTAACACATACTATAGTGTTTTGATTATAAAGAATGCAATTTGCTTAAAATATTCAACTAAAAATAAATTCTAGTCTAGAAAAGCTTCAAAAGGTATATTTTGCATTGGAGAGAAATGTTTCTTAGCCTCGTCTGAATTTGTACACTTGGGATATTTTTGTTGTGGAGTTTTAGTCTCTGGCTGTAATTTGCTGTCTTGGACCTAAACAGTTGGTTCAGTAGAAGAGAAGCATACCAAAAGGAGGTGAGGCTTCCCCAGGCAGAGACATTTTTGAACTTCATGTCGTAGGTAGGTGTTTAAAGTCTTTCAAAAGCAGTAGAAGGAAAGTAACATTCTGTTGAGAGAAGGTGAATTACTATTTCTGGCTGTCTGTTGGGTGTTTGCATGATGTTTAGATTATTTTGAGTTCTTCCCTCATCCTTCTCCTTCTTGCAAAGTTTTTTCTGTTTGCGTATCTGCAAGTCTTATGTAGTGTATACCCTTTTGATGAGGACAGAGCAAGCAATTTATTTTGAGGATGCAAGCAGGATTTTTGTTGTTCTTTTTGCCGCTTGTGCCTGTCTGTCTCCTGTTGCTAAATAGGTCATTCCAGCAGAAATGGTTGCATTAACAAGCAAAGAGCAAAGACGCACTGGTGGTGGTATGTGTTTATAGAATCATTTAGGTTGGAAAAGACCTTTAAGATCATCGAGTCCAACTGTTAACCTAACACTGCCAAGTCCACCACTAAACCATGTCCCTAAGTGCCATGTGTACATATCTTTTAAATACCTCCAGGGATGGGGGACTCAACCACTTCTCTGGGCAGCCTGTTCCAATGCTTGACTACCCTTTCCGTGAAGAAAATTTTCCTAATATCCAATCTAAACCCTCCCAGTGCAACTTGAAGCCATTTCCTCATGTCCTATCACTTCCTGCTTGGGAGAAGAGACTGACACCCCCTCGCTACAACCTCCTTCCAGGTAGTTGTAGAGAGCGATAAGGTCTCCCCTCAGCCTCCTTTTCTCCAGGCTAAACAACCCCAGTTCCCTCAGCTGCTCCTTATACGACTTGTGCTCTAGACCCGTTACCAGCTTTGTTGCCCTTCTTTGCGCGTGGTCCAGCACCTCAATGTCTTTCTTGTATTGAGGGGCCCAAAACTGAACACAGTATTCGAGGTGCGGCCTCACCAGTGCCGAGTACAGGGGGACGATTGCTTCCCTAGTCCTGCTGGCCACACTGTTCCTGATACAAGCCAGGATGCTGTTGGCCTTCTTGGCCACCTGGGCACACTGTCGGCTCGTGTTCAGCCTCCAGGTCCTTTTCTGCCAGGCAGCTTTCCAGCCACTCTTCCCCAAGCCTGTAGTGTTGCATGGGGTTGTTGCAACCCAAGTGCAGAACCCAGCACTTGCCCTTGTTAAACCTCATACAACTGGCCTCGGCCCATCGATCCAGCCTGTCCAGATCCCTCTGTAGAGCCTTCCTACCCTCAAGCAGATCAACGCTTCTGCCCAACTTGGTGTCATCTGCAAACTTACTGAGGGTGCGCTCGATTCCCTCATCCAGATCATTGATAAGATATGAAACAGAACTGGCCTCAGTACTGAGCCCTGGGGAACACCACTTGTGACCAGCTGCCAACTGGATTTAACTCCATTCACCACCACTCTTTGGGCCTGGCCATCCAGCCAGTTTTTTACCCAGTGAAGAGTACTTCTGTGCAAGCCATGAGCAGCCAGTTTTTTCCAGGAGAATGCTGTGGGAAATGGTGTCAAAGGCTTTACTAAAGTCTAGGTAGACAAGATCACACACAAAATGTCTTTCTGAGCATTTTTATTACTTCCTTACCTATTCTGCCTTAACTGAGTATGACGGGCTGCTATGCTTCATCTGATGTAACCGTACTGGAGGAGGGGTACCTCCTTTTTTGGCAGCAGCTTCACACTTGTATTGGATTAAGTGTAACGTGAAACCATACCCAAAATAATTGGTTTTACGCTTCTGGAGGTTTTCATGGGGACATGAGTTTATTAAGATGCATACATTCCTTCACAAGGAAACAGTTTTAAGTTGTTGCCCATATTTTGAAATGTGTATGTTTTTTCTTTGCTGGCCCACCTTTGAAACTGGTCATCTTTACACAAATCTGGAGCAAAGGCTGCTTAAAAATTTGGCTTTTGTTTCCTAACCTTGATGCTGCATCCCAATGTGTTGTAGCTACAGAATAGCTTGTTTCTTGCTCACGGCTCACTCTGTACACCCTCAGGCATTGAAGTAGAAGCCTGTGGAGCACATGCCTATCCATGCAAAGAACAGTAGTTGCTGCAGAAACCTAAAGGATGCTGCAGTCACAGAAGGGTGCCTTTGTTTACTAGCGTTCATAAATTGAATTGGTGATGCTTACCTCCTGTAACTGCTCAGGGTTTTAATACAAAATGGATATTTCACAAAGAGCAGGCCTGTATTTTTTGGCACTGGTGAGCTCAAACAAAGCAGGAGGAAGTACAGCAAACATCAGCAGAGGTGTGAGAAGCGTATCAGACACATCTGACCATATAGCAACAAGTCTCCACAGCCTCCCTGGGGAAGCAGCAAAAGTTCACGGTCGTAGCCTAAAGTTGGGTGGAGGGAAGATCTGGCATTTTCACTGTCCTTGCTGAAACGAAGGGCCCCCACGGGGGCATGGTGGGTAGCGAAGGGCCAGTGATGCTGCCAGGCCAGGCCACGTGCCCCGCAGGAAGTGGGCAAGCAAAACAAGCGTGGAATTGTTTGTACTGGGGAAGGATGACTAGCAGAGAGTGTATTTTCAAAGACAGGTCGAACGAAAAGTCCTTTCAATTCACTGATTCATTTCATGTCTGTGCTGAACTTACAAGTCATTCCCTAATCCTCTTTCAGTGCTCTAGGGGCCGATAATAGGGATGCTGCAAACAACCCTGGCTGATCCTTGCTGCAAAGGGTTAATTTGGAACAATGAAACAGGGGCTTAACCTTTACTTTTTCGGCGGGGTGGTGGTTGTGGAGTCCTCACTGCTGCTTATGTTTGATCACATGAGGTTTGAGCAGGTAGTTGCAGAGACGCAGTGAGTGGATAGTGTATGTTTTTAACAGCCCAGCTGAGGAAACACATCAATGGGGAAAAATCACTGTGCAGATGAGAGCAGCAGGCAGAGTTGCTTGCTAACCTTTATGGTCTGGTTTTTGGCGAGAGAGCGTACGTTTTGTGCAGAACAGAAGCCAACACAAAGCATTTTTCTCTGGCCGCATGTATGGTTTTGGTGATAGAAATGTAGTTGGTTGAAATTAAAATCCCATTCATCCTGTACGGGAGTCCTCCTGTTCCTCCAAGCAGGCAGGCTTTGTAAGGCAATCTGAGTAATTTTGGGGATATACAGGCAGATCTATACAAGACCTTCATTCTGGAAAGATAATAGTTCATAGATAGGAGGAAATATATGTATTCAATAGTCTTTTAGTTCCAGTTCACAAATTATAAGAACCATGATAAAAAAATTATCAACACCATGTTATATTTGCCATTAAGGAGATGAAAATAAGTAGTAAGAATGGCTGGTGTTTCTTGTTGTTTGGGTGGATGGGGGTTGGACAGTGAGTACATGGACAATTTTATGCAGAGTTTAGGGAGAAAATTGCTGAACGTTACTTTTGTTCTCTGTTGTCTTTAGGGGACGTGTGTATACATATACAAACACTGCTGGGGTTTTCTTTTTTTTTTTTTCTTTCTTCTTTTTTCCTATTTTAGCCACAAAATTGTGGCAGTTTAAAATACAGTAACAAACCTGTTCTTATCCAACTATTTAAGTTTAATATCTGTGAAAAAGAAGAGGTTTGCCAATTACGTGTTTCATCCACACTGAACGATAACTGTGCTTTCCTTAAGTCGTAACAGTCAAGCCTGCTGTGGAGTGACAAGACCTAGCTTTTCCTTCCGTGTTATTTGATACGTGTTTCAGTTTGACATTATGTAAATACTCTGCTATTAGGGAAGAAAATGACATAAAATTGCATCCTTTCTCAATGAGGTTTTAAGTTCTTTCAGTAGCTTCTCTCCTTTTTGAAGCTGTAATAAAGATCATAATTAGAATCCCAGTTGCTTAAGTGAGAAATTAGCATGTTCTTAAATGCTGAGCTGAGCCAGGTTGCCAGTGAGACCCCCTCCGGGTATCTGTCCTGCCCCAAAGCGCTTTCCCTAATACCAATTTGCGTTCTAGACGTATTAAAGAAAATCATATTCATGGCCACCTAGCAGTTAATCAGAGCCTTCAGATAGGCTTGAAATAATTTGCAGCCTGACTGCCAAAACCACCTGCATCTGTTCATTTCCTACAGCCGTACCTGGGCATGCTCTAAAACTTACCAGAGTGTCAGTCCATCGCCCAGTACCAGGACTGAGACAAATTTACTCCATGCATGTCCTTCCTTCTTAAAAATTTGTCACAAATACTACTTAACCTCACCCTAGACCTCCTTGCCTACTGTCTTTTAGGGAGCAAAACCCTAATGGCATTTACCTGATATTTTCCCTGTCAAAAATATCTTTCCCTGAAGATTTTGATTTGTTTTTGTAGAACTGGGCAGTAACACAGATACCTTATCTATTAATATATATTCTACCATGTAAATAAGATTCTAGCAGATTGGAATAAATTAAAACCTTAATGGGGCTAAAATTAACCTAATTTGTAAATTAATTAAAAACAAGAAGCAAAGAAAACTAACACTTCAAAAAAAAAAAGACATTTTCATGGTGCAAAATACAGATTTAATTTCCAAATAAGTGAATGGTAAACTGTAATTGTATGATGTGCAAGAAAATACTCAGAACATATGAAATAGTAGTCACAGATTTTATAGTCAAGATGTTCCCTTTCTGGTTTTCCAAATTGTCTCAGAAGACACCAAAGCATAAAGCAAATAAAATACTGTCTTTGCAATTGACCCAGGTAGGAATATGATATTGGTGGGAGATGGATTCAGATTCCCCCCCCCCCCCCCCCCCCTTTTCCCTTTTTTCTTTTTTTTTGTTTTTTTTTCTTTTTTTTCCATTTTTTAAAAAATGGTGAATTTTTATGTTCTGATGTCTCTCCTGCAAGTTCTGCCTAACATGCTTCTGATATGCTCTTGTTTCCACAGGCCAAGGCTGCAAGCACAAAGGAAGTTTGCTCAGTCCCAGCCAAACAGTCCCAGCACAACTCCAATAAAGATAGTGGAGCCGTTGTTACCCCCTCCCGCCACACAGATTTCTGACCTCTCCAAAAGGAAGCCCAAGACAGAAGATTTTCTCACTTTCCTCTGTCTTCGAGGTAGGAGTTTCGCAGCAGCCTAGGAGGACAGTCTCATTTGAAAAAACAAGCCATAGCACCGCACACTGAGTAGCAGCTAGACAAATGCACTGGTGCTACACTTGAATATATTGTGTGCATTCCAGCTCTCAGCAATTTGACTGTATCTGCAGCAGGAGCATTCGAGTTCATGGTTGTAAAGACCATAAAACGAGGCTGGTAATAGTGCAAAAGGAAATTTCTTTTATGCTTAGCACTCTGTTATCCTGAATGAGTCTTTGTCTAGCTCTCTTAAGACCTCCCCATCCTCCTTTGTTTTGTCTGACTATAAACTGAAGAAGTGCTTAACTTGCCAGAGTACTTGTTAGTGCAAGAGGAGAAATCTGGTTGGAAATTCCCCTTCTCTACCTACTTTATTGTTGTCCTTTATTGTTCAATCTGAGCAAGGCTTTTCATCTGACAGTGGGTGGAGGGATTGCAGTTGTTCTTAGCTGCCCCAGGAGCTGGATTGTTCCCATGGTGATAACTAAAACAGGTGAGCTCCACTCTGCAACCCAAGTGCAGACGAGCCATCTGAACTTGTACAGCAAGACACCCTAATTATCTCACAGTAACAGGTGCCTGAGCCTGGCTGGAGCTGTATGGTGTGTGTCTGGGATCACTGGTGTGTGTCTGCGAGTCTGCATGTCAGACTTGGGGACCTTAGCATGACATACAGCCGACTGTCCAGATTAAGATAAAGAAGGAGACCTTACCTGAGTGGTCATTTTTCTTGGGACTTTCCATTTCCCAAGTCATGTACCAAAGATAGCATCTCCCAGTTGTCGTATTAGCTCTTGTGGTATGTTTCTCTTTTGGCAGGTACCACCCCCCACGCCGTCCCCACGCCGTCCCCTTAGCTAGTCACTGCTCCGTCTTTGATGTGCTGGAATGCTGCCTCTTGCTGTGTTGTTTTGTCCCATTACCTGCTGAAAGGGTGTGCATTTGTTACAGATAGGGCTTGTCTGCAAAACCGTTACCTAGTGGATTGAATCCTTCAAAGCTTGTGTTTGAGTTCCCCTTTCCGGTTCTGAGGTCTCCGTTGCATCTGCGAGCAGCACTGGTCAACACCACCCATAGCTTCCTG